GGCACTGGGAAATCGCTTCATAATCAGCATCAGCAGCATCATCATCAACTTGTTGCAAATGTCGCTTGCCAGGCATTGCAACAGGCCATGGCTTCTTCAGTTGGATCGTCATCATCGACCAACAATGAGTGCAGCTATAAGAATTGCCATCTAAATATAAGCGCTAGCACTACATCGGCATCGGCTGTAGCTGGAACACAGCAGCGCCGCTCACAGCATCGCACTACACTGCCCATTCAAGCGACACATGTTGCACACGATATGCTGCAGCAATTTGTGACTGTTGCTGATGTAGAAATCAGCGGTGCCACCGTTGGTTATCACTCACTGCCTAGTGGTAGCGGCAGCATCGGTGGCAGCAGTAATGATATGGAATTGCTTACTGCTACTACGATGCCAACATCTTCCCAATACGCTGGTTCACATATGGCTGGCGCCATTTCCACGCCCAGTATTGATGTGTTGCCATTGATGAGCGGAGAAATCGCCACAATATCCAGCAACACCAGCGACTCGATCACACAAACTACATTTAGCGCCGTGGCCGGGGCTCATACGCTGCCCACAAATGCACACACGCAAACGCTCAAAAGCGGTAGCAGCAGTGCCAACAGCCCTGGCAGTCAAAGTAGCAAAACTCCCTCCTCTTCCCGCCGTTACCACCGCACTATACCGCGTTACTTCGCTCTCACCGATCCGTTGAGTGCCAAAGAGGCCTATGGCATTGGTAAAAGTAAATCAGATAATAGCACGCGTAATAATGCGGGCACTACATCATCGGCTAGCAAAAAACCCACTTGTCAGTGTCCGGTGCAACATGTGCCCATGTCATATATGGCAGCTACCCAGCTGAGCAATGCTGCACAATGTGCCAGCAGTAGCGCACTTCTTTCGGCATTGAGTAGCAAATTGAACGCCGTCAGTCAGTCATCAGCCGCATCCCAAACATCATCAGCGTCATCGACATTAGTCTCGTCGCATGGCAACAGCAGCTCGGGTCGTTCCAACACTTCCACTTCGTTGGGTTACTCGCAACGTGCAAAATCCTCCAATAGTCTACAGCAAACTTCTGCGAGCGAAGTCAACAGCCTTGGCGGCACTTTGAAGCGTGCAATGCATACCACCAGTACCAACACCAATACCAGTAACAATGCTAGTAACAAAAACAACAACACCAATAATAATGCTAGCTCACTATGCAGCTATGAAACGAAAATTGCTACCATTTCCAAACAAGTTGGCGATAGCACAGCTGCAAATCTGAGTGGTAGCACAGTAGGAGGCCATCACCATCACACAGCTCATCATGCCCACCATGCCCATCATTCGCACAGCGTTGTTGTATTGCCGACACAGGCGCAGGACGAGAGTATGCCCATAGTATTGGGACGGGTGCAAAAGCGATCCAGTGGTGAGCGGGAAAGGGAGCGGGACAGAGAAAGGGAGCGTGAACGAGAGCGCGAACGTGCGCGTAGTGCTAGTAGTGGTCGCGGTAGCAGTAATAGTAGTACACACCAATTGGAGAGTAGCGCGGCGGCATTTTATTTGAACGGAAAGGTGAGTGGTAGATGAGGTAAGGTACCGTTAGGGAATCTTCATACATACTCATATATTTATGGTAATAATTTATGATCTCAATAATAATAAAGTGACACGTGCGGAACGACAAAAGTTTGCTAAGCTCAGGGAAACTGGAAATAGTTATAGACAGAATAGAAACAGGTTTTAAAAACCTAAAAAATTGTAAACAACACTTACATTTCTTTTTAGTCAAGTTAAAATTCCATTATAAAAGACAAAATTTACTGTCATACCTACACAAGAGCGTCAGTGTTGTCTGGCTGTCAAAAAATTCTCATGCTCATACAATTTGTATGAAGCATAGCGAAATAACGTGTCGTCAACGCTGTCAGATTTTGACAGAGCGCACAGTCTTTCGACTATATGGAGGCAGGTAGAAATATTAGAAATAGGGAATTATGAAATTTGTAAAGATGAAATAATTGCCACGCCCTTCACTCTTGAGGCCGAAATATTAAATTTCATCCGCTTTTGATGAAATTTAGTTTGTACTCTGTCTTTTATTAGGAAACCCTAAATATAAAATATGGGGGAGGATTGGATCACTATAACGTGCAAAACTCACAAAAAATATGGGGCCAGCCATTAAATGTTAATTTTAATTTTTGTAAATTTTTGTTTCCTGCTTTCCACTCTCAGAAAACAAAAGTTATATTTAAAATTATATAGGTGTTCATATTCTCTTTTTTCTCAATGTTTGGTGAGATTTTTCCATTGTTCGAAAAATTGTTTTCGCGAAATTATGCAAAAAGAAGTTGAAAATCAAAAATTAAGAATATGGAAAATTACATATATTTGCAAAGTCGTGCGAAAAGATCCAAATATATATTCGAACACTACATACAATTTTCTAAAACATCCGTCTAATCTCAAGACCTGATAGACTCATACTTTTTTTTTATTAATAACCTTTAGCATCTACAAAGTAACCTTTATGATAAAAAAATAGGAAAATAACAAATAAATGATAAATACCTTCACCTGAATATTTAAGGACATTTAGATAATTGATTACAGTTGAAAAAGAAACACTTACTGTAATGGGTTCAGCGCCAAATGCAATTAAACTGATTAGTTGGTAACTCGTCGATTCAAGTATTTTTTTTGGAAATATGCCATTGGTGGAGAGAGGGGGTGCGTAAATAATGTGAAAGATCTCCCGAGGACTTTAAAATTAAGTTTAATTGATTCTCGATTCCTTTTCTTATATGTTTAAGTTATTTTTACAAATAAAGAAAAAAGTAGGAAAAAACCAGTGATGGGTCAAGGTTTTTCATAGATCTTTGACAAATAGTATTCAATCGTTACGTAATTTTTACCAAATTAAAGGTCAGACTTATACCTGTTAAAATGCGACTCTCTTTAAACAATACATTGAACATTTCTGTAAATAAAATCCAAAATTATAATTTTACGACTCATCGTTTTTTGTCCTTCGGAAATTAAAATGGAGTACATGCGAGCAAATTATTTTTGCATTAATTGCTCAAAGTTCGTAACCTTTTGGTTGGACCACCTCGGGTGCACCTTAAAACAAGGTTTAGTTTTTGGAATTGGTAGTTGCCTAACACCGTTTGTACTGTTTTGTCGCGTTTAAATACTTAGTAGTCTGTTCCACAATTTTTCGGCTCACCTTAATAGTCATATTTGTAGGTAGTTTGCTACTTGTTAATAGTTGATGCCGTTTCCTCATACAACTGTTGTCCAACTTTAAAGCTCTACCCAGAATTGCAGCGGACGACGGTTAAGCGGTCAACGGTTAACCGCTGTCAAAATCAAAACTCACGAAGACATACGGAATGGCACATAATTGCGGAATTTTACCGACAACGTTTTTCGGTTGATTTAAATCTATTTCTATTTTTACCGCCCAGCGGGGGCGGTACATTGTTGATTTTAATAATTTCTATTATTTTCACAAGTTTGCAAATGCTTTTAACCATTTTTATTTCCAGCCAATACACACATACACGTACAAAAAAAAAAAAAATATTTTAATGAAAATTTCCAAATCAAAATGACAGTTAGAGGAAGCCGTGAACAGCTGTTCACTTACCGCCGATCGCTTTACCGTCGTTGGCTGTAATTCCGGGTAGATCTTAAATTTCATTTGTCCTAAGTGTTTTGTATATTGCCTTGTTGTTTCCCCTCAACCAACCCCGCCGTCTCCACTGAGTCAGCCGGTTGCTATTTTTCTTTTGTTACTGTGCATTGTTGTTGTTGGGATCGGGTAAGTGCATATATTTGGTGCCTCCGCGCCGAAAAGTAAGGTAACAATGTACTACTATTTGTCAAATGTAACTGGGTGACTACCTACATATGTATGTGCACTATTTTGCTTTATTACTCAATTGTAAAGTTTAAAGGTTGGTCTTATTGCTCATCGAGAAATGAAACTGTGAAATAACAAAAATTTGCGTTATTTCCGTTTGTGTTATTGCACGCACCGTTTGTTATTGCCTTGAAAGGTTGTAACATTTAGCTTAGCGTAGACCTGCAGTATTACGCCAGTGTTAACTTCTTAGCCTGTTCCTCTCCTTCCTGAGCTCTTCCTTGTTTGTGCTAGGTCCGAGTGCAAAGAAGCCCAGGCCCTATAAGCGACAAGGCGGCTGCCGTTCTGCTTCTCGTTGGATGTCATTGTACTCCTCCAGGATATTGGGCTTATCAATGCACTCAACAACACACTAGTTTGGTTTCGAGCTCCAGCTCAGCATTTACAGCTAAAGAGCTGAACACTGAAGATCTTTTGGACTTTAAAAAATGGTGGCCAAATATATAAAAAAAAACATGTTTGCCTACTCAATTCTTCGGAAAAAGTGTCCCAAAAGAAAAAAAAATCATTCGCGCCTACGAGTTTTTACTATCATTCATATAAAAATGGTACTATCATAGTCGAGGAATTTATTAATGGATTCATTAAGCATTCATTCATTCTTTTGTTTTTCAAACTATTTTAAGAAGTAACTTAAGTACAAACGAAAAATTGTGGGATAGGCCTCTTCTGCTCCCATGGCCTCATACATACATACACTGAGAAAAAGGATTAGTGTTGACAACTAAAAATATTTAGTTTCCGAATTTTGACAATATTTGGGAACTGTTACCTAGGATTGGGAACTATTAACATGGGTTGGTAATTATAACTAAATATATGAAAGCTTCTAATATTCATCTAGGTTGTACCAAATCGTTAATTTAGTTGAAGGGTTTGGTAAATATTAGAGATGGGCACGGGCCCATCGAATAAACAGTGAGTTAGGTATTTGCAAATTATTTTTATTTGCAAATAGCTTACGTATAAAGCAACAGATACGCTTTCTTTCAACACATGGTTTAGTCATAGTTCCAAATCTTAGTTGAGGCAACCACGATTTGGTTTGAGAGCGGATCATATTCATGCTTGTGAGCCACCCCTAAAGAATGCTGAGGGCTCTCTGAGCACATGTTTGTTTCACATACGAAGAGCGCCGGCTGAGCAATGTACACAGTCCCACTTATTGAATCGTTTGAATGTTCTAGTATGCCGACCATTGCATAAAAACGATTCAACGAAGAAGGCTGTGTGCGTGGAAATCATTGCTCCGCTACCGCTGTTCGTATATGGGTGAAACACGCGTGTGGTCACAGAGCGCTCAGTAAGCTATAGCATGTCGATCACTGCGCTAGATAGAGAAAGAAAAGTGTGAGATATGACATGCCCAGACTTATTTGTCTCAGTTTCAGTTTTGCCATCGCCGCGAGTTGTTTCGATGTGCGCATAGTTATTTAAAAATATAAAGTTTGATACAAACCGGGGTTTCTCAGTGGATATGTAATTCATGTCAATTATAATTTGAAAGTATATATTTAGCGAAGGAAAAAGCAAAGCAGTATACTTAAACCAGCACTTCCAGCAGATATTAACCTGGGTTTTCGCACGACTGTTCCAGTTCCATCGTTTCTTTTTAGAAAATTCTTACCGCCATATTCATATGTATTATTTACACTAGTAACTATTTATGTAAATATGTATTTATTTTTATGCTTAATATATGCAAATAAAAGAAGAAAGTAAACACAACAACCATCGAGTAAATTTTTATTTGTGTCAAACTGAAACATTTTTTCCAATAATAAACGGTTAGATGATTCAAGTCTACAGCAAATTTCCAAAATTAATTGAAAACTTGTATCAACCAAAGCATTGTTTATATTTGCGCAACAATGATTTTATTCAACTAACAATATTGTCCACTCAAGCTAGTCGTTTTGTAATTATTAACAAATATACATTTGTCCCAACTAGAAGTCTGAAGTAAATTGCAGACTTTCGTGAACTAGATATTTATTTCGCCATATCCAACTATAACCAAATCTTGGTAATTATAACTAAACCTTTTTCTGAGTATACATATGTGTATGCACATCCATGAAAAAATAAATCCTATTTTGTCTTTAAAAACCTACAAAACTTAGTTTTTCTTAAAACGGAGTATATTTATTACTCAGATCTGCTTGCTTTTAATACTAAACAATTTAGTTAAAATCATGTGAAAAATAATAGGGACATTTTTCCCAGTTTTGCTTATTTCTCTTTTGTTTGTATGTTTACTATGTATATTTATATGTATTTTATAAAAATGCAGCTGAACTTTGTAGATATATTCGAAAATTTCAATAAATTTTTACAACGATAACAAACTTTTCACGAAGATTTTTTTAGAAAAATTCTAAGTATGCAGTTTTGTAGCCTATTAAATGGTAGCTTAATAAAGTGCAAGTTTCCTAAGGCTAAGAACTCGCGTTGATTTTTGATATTTTTTTGCTGATTGGGGGTATAGCGCTTCTCATAAATTTACAAAAACTTGATTTTTGCCTCTTTTAAGTTTTTACGCTGTAGACTTTTCGCTGGAATCGCCAATACATATGTATTCATAAGTGGGTGGGGCTACGCCAAGTTTTTCCAAAACTTTATAATATTCTTATTTTCCGTCTAAATACTATTTAAAATATAAATTTTGTGTGCATAAGCTGTAGTATTTAGTGATTAAAATATCGCAGTTTTCGTATTTCTGAAAACTACCAACTCCAATATCGCCCATTTTGAATACCATCCATCCTACGTTCAAAAGAAGTACACGTATCAAGCTTCGTTCGTTCGAGTTATCTTGTGCACAGACGTACGGACGGACGGACAGTCACGGTTTAATCGATTTCTTTTTTCATTCTGAGCGTTTATGTATACATTTGAGTGTATCTATCTCGATTCGTTTTGGCTGTTACAAACAAACGTTTTGTGAGCAAAGTTAAAATAAAAAAATCTCCAAAATTAATGCGATTTGTTAGCCGGTGAAAACTTGCACTTCATTTGACTTAAATTGTGTAGGCCATACAATTGCATACCCAAAAATGTTCTAAAGATTTAGATTAAAAAGTTGAAATTTTGATGAAAATTTACAGAAATTTCCCAAATTTTATATAAAGTTGGAAACTGTGATTTATATGTTTTTGGTTAAAGTTTGGACGGCATCATGATACAAAAAAGAAGGTAGTTTCATTTAATGACATTCGTTGTTGTTGTTAACCATTTGACTTTTAATAAAATTATGACATTTCATCAAATTCATGCTACCTGATCACTAGAAGAAATATTTTATTTTTAAGCAGAAGATTTTATTTTATGGACTTGAAAATTATGCCGGGTTGACGATTAGGTTTCAGAACGCATGAAGAAAGTGTATACATACTTACGTATTGTCGTTTAAAGTACAAAACCGCGTATCGTCGTTGTGCAAAACCGCGTAACTGATATTTTTTGCCAAAAATTGGATTTGCGCACACAAGCTCTTGGCTCAAGCCTTATTCATTCGTCCTGAAATGCGATTTCTTTGTAAAAAAGAGTACCATTTTTAAATACATAATACATACGCGGATTTGTATTATAATTTAAACATTTGTGAAAGTTAATGGCGATACGGTAATCACATGGCCTAATTTTTTTTCAAAATCTGATGAGAAATTTAAAATTAAATTTGAGCCAAAATATAAAAAGGTTTTATTTGGGAAGAACATTCTTTAGAATTCGATTTTTAAATCGCAAGATTGTATTCTAAATTTGAAAAAGAAAAAATAACAAAATAATGCGCGCGTGGTTTTTATTATAAAATAAAAAGAACAATTACAATGAAGTCTTCTTTAATAGTTTATATTTTATATAGCTTTAACAAAAATAGTGCGAGCTACGTAAGTAAAAAAATACCAAGCACTGATAATGGTTTTTGATTTGAAATATTATTACATTGGTATAAATATGCGAAAGAAAATTCTCCGATTTATTGCCTTTATATTATCAAAGTGGCAAGGCTGTTGATAATACTCACAATTTATGAAACTTCAAAAAATTGTATTATCCGTCAAAAGTTGTTTATTGAAACTACGTTCTTTTTTGTATCATGTGAGGGAATTATAGAAAAAAAAATTGCTTGAAACACATTGCGAACATCTTTTTTAAAAAATCAAAAAGTTTGAGTAACTGTGTATCGACACTGAATTTTGAAACTGTGATTTATATGTTCTTGGTTGAAGTTTGAAGGATATTTATAAAAAGTCAACAAGTTTGAGTCACTGTGTACCGACACTGAAGTTTTGGGGAATGTACTTTGAATGCACTAGCAGTATAGAAGTATTCCTTATGTACATTGCACTTCATCACGAAAAAAGTTTCGATTTCGATGAAGACCTGCACAATAATATTTCGAAAAAATATTAAGATTTACGTGAGCTGGACCAATTTAAAAATACCTCAAAAAATGTAGTTTTCTTATAAATTAAAAAAAATATTTTCTTAAAAGATTTAAGCTTAAAAAATTAAAAAAAGTTCAACGGAACCTTAATAATTAGATTTTTTATGCTGTTTCTTTCTTTTTTTCAAAAATTGGTTTAAGAAAAATATAAATAACTGGACCAAAACTATACCGATTTACACTTATAAGGTATAACTGGAAGGTATTTTCTCACCCTTTTTATTTTTTTCCAAACAAACGCATTCATGTCCAATTTTTATTTTTTCAAATATTAACACATCTAATTCGTGAATTACCCTGTCTCCATGGCACACATTAGCAATTCGTTTGGCAGTTCTAGTTTTTTTTCTCTTTTCTTCGCTATTTGTTATTATTTTTGTGTACTGCAAATATCGAAGATGGAGCTAAGCTTTAAGTTATCATCAACAATTTTAATTTATATAGACAATATTTTATTAATATTATTCTATAACTAGAAAAAGTGCCAGCAAATGGGACCAGGTCGGTGAAAACTTCGATATATTTCCGATAAATATTAGAGAAGGCACCGATTCGTTCGTCATCCGCATGGTAATTCGATCTGAATTATATATAAATGAGGTTAATCGCTCTCAAAATTTTGTATGACGAATTAAGTAATTCGGAAGATAGTTGGCAAGGCGAATGACGAATGGGAGAGCGAGTTACGAATGAGAGGGCGAATTGTGAATCGTGGAAACGCCGTATTAATTAAACTTGGAACGACGCTTGTTTATCTTTCATACTTTGAATTAAATTATTTGCAAAAAAAAAAAAATGAGAAAATACCTTTGCAATGATATCCTATAAGTTTAAATCGGTGAAGTTTTGGCGGAGTTATTTAAGTTTTTCAAAAACCTATTTTTGAAAAAAGTCCAAAATGCATCAAAAATTTCATTATTAGGATTCTGTTGATTGTTTTTAATATTTTAATGCAAATTTTCTATGCTTAAACTGTTTGCCATGTGAGGTGATTTTTTTTAAATACCTCAAAAAACTATTTTGAATGATAAAAATCTCACTTTTTGGAGGTACTTTTAATCGGTCCAGCTCACGTAAATCTTAATATTTTTCCGAAATATTTTGGTGCAAGTCTGAAAATATTATAGATTTCATAGTTCCAATGGAGTGATGCCGTCTAATGTACATATATGTATGTCGAGAGTTTATATTCAATACCCTCTATCTGCAATTTGAATAAAATTTAGACCCGCGTGCTTAACTCGTCTCGGGTTTAACGGTCGTCCATACAATTTATTTTAACATCAAAAATCGCTTCTATTATACATTCAAGCGACTCATATATGTAGCTCACATTATTACCAAGGCTGACAATTAAGTCAGCTGTGGCTTCATTTTGATGAAATTTGCAGGTAGATGGTATTAAATATAAGTGTTCGAAATATTTTAGCAAGCTTTTGTAATTTCATGTCGTCTTTGTCTTCAATTTACTTAGTTGTGTTGGTAATTTTCGCATTTAATTATTTATTAATAAATATGTTTTTTTTTTGTTTTAAACTCGTTTACTGCAACTAGGTCGACGCTTACTTGAACTTTCCCCAACCGCAACACTTCAACACCATACATTCGCAACAACAACCACACCATCAGCACCATCAACAACAACAAACCAACGATACAAATCCAATACTACCACCGAAACTTCACAAATCTCTAACGAATTTAAAATCTTCGACAAGCAACAATCATAGCATTATGACCACGACCACCAAACCATCGAATGTATGTGCTGCTGTTGCTGCTACTACGCCCACCACTACTGCAACTGCCACTGTCTCCTCGAGCTGTACTGCCGTGCAGACGATTAGCTCCCTCAGTAAACCAACAACTTCTACGGCGGCATATTCGTCGCGTAAGGATCATCATAATAATCTAGATCCTATAAGCAGCATCGGCATTAACACCAGCAGTAGCAATAAAAATTCGCCGCCATCACTCACTTTGCCACTATCCCCGGTGATAACGAAAAGCGCTGGCGGCACAGCGACCCACAGCAGTAGTGGCACCGGCGGAGTCACTCCCAGCAACACCGTCGGCTCGGTCTCACATTCTTCAGAGAAGTCCAGCAAAATAAACTCAAGCACCTTTTACCCGCTGCAAAATAGCCACGTGACCTATACACTGCCAAAACACATTAGTGGAAAAGTTTCGCTGAATAGTACTATTACCAGTGTGGTAAGCAAGGTGCCTTCAGTGATCAGTATACCCATTGGTGGTGGGGAAGTCGATCTCTATGAGAACAACAATGGCTGTGGTGGCAGTAATGCTTTGAGTCAAAATAGTGGCACGAGCAGCAAGCACGAAACGTCGTCAAAGAACGGAGGAGGAAGCGGACGTAGCACTACATTGCCAAAGATATTGCGTACCAAAAAGCAGCAAGGCTGCAGCGGCAGCAACACCAACAGCAATAATATGAACAACCAGCCATCACCTTCCAACAGCACACCGTCTACCTTGGCAGCAGTGTCAGTGTCGGTATCGCAATGTAGTATGCCCGCCTATCCACAACAGTATACTAGTCATCATGCCAAAACAAACACAAATGCAATTACAACCACTACAACAGCAAATGCAACAACACAATTTAATTCCCACGTTGTTGATGGCAATACTTTATCATCTGCCAAACATTTACCCGTCTGTACCACCTCTAAAAATTGCCTAAATCCGAAGGAGCATTTTCTACCGAACGACACCAGTTTGGATGACGATTACTTGAGTGAGTGTGAGAATTGTAAAATAGCGCAGAGCGCTAAATATTATTTGAATGCTGAGGAAGTAGAGTCAACGCCGCAGGAGACAATGACACTGCAACGTAAATCGATGGATGACAATAAGGAAGAACAGGAGCAGGCATATTATCGAATTTCGCACACGCTGCCAACGAATCCAAAGAAAAATGCGTAAGTATAGAATGTACATGCATTAGCGTTGCTCCTGTGCATACGAATTCCTCGTTTAGAGGAAGAACGACCTTTCTTACACCAAAGCGAAATTTATCACCCCTATTCTGTATTCTGCAACACTTTCGTATTCGGATTTTGCCACGAATCGTAGAAATGGTATACTGCAATCCGAATCGTACCTTCGAAATTCGTAAAAATGGCATGCCTAAAAACAAACGAGGAACAAATTGACAGCTTTTTCGCATAATTTTGTACCAAAACAATTCTGTGTCGGAATCGAGATAAAAATTAAGCAAAAAGATGTAAATCGATGTGTGTTTGCAGGAAATATTAGTTGGGTTCTTTTAAACAGATAAATTTGCCTTTCGTATATATGTACGTAGATTTATACCCGAGCGCACTTGTGCTCAAGGGTATATTAATTTTGTTCACATAACGGTTGTTTGTAACAGCCAAAACGAATCGAGATAGATATAGACAAATGTATCCATATATGCTCAGAATGAATAGAGAAATCGATTAAGCCATGTCTGTCTGTCCGTCCGTCTGTCCGTCTGTCCGTCCGTCCGTGTACACGATAACTCGAGCAAAAATTGAGATATCTCAACGAAATTTGGTATGTAGGTTTCTGTTAATCCAAGGTAGGTTGGTATTGAACATGGGCGAAATCGGACAGTAACCACGCCCACTTCCCATATAACGGTAATTTCCAGAAATACGAAAACTGCGATATTTTAGTAACTACTGAAGATAATTCACTCATAATTGATATTTGTAATAATTTTCAGACGAAAAATAAGAATATTATAA